AAACCTCCCCACAGCCAGAGCAAAAGAGGAAACAGCTCTCATTACAGACGTTTCCCTCTGTTGATTCCTTACCACCTCTGAGACACAGCAGTAATTTAAGGTTGTGAGCATTAAGACCGATTGCGTGTATTTAAATAACCAACCCCTCAGTTAAGAGAGAGACCATAAGTACTGACAATCGCTTGAAGTCTGACTGACTTTGTCAGAAACACAGAGCTAGGTTCACACCTACTTCCTTGTTTCTCTGGCAGTTAAAGCTCCCAAATCGGACAGACACTAATGTTCCGTTCTCCACAGAGAACACTGGGAAAAGGAAATAAACTCAAATCTGGGATTGTTCGTTTCAATAAACTAAAGAAAAGTACTCAGGTTGCCACTGAACTCGACTGAGGCATTAAGCATGAATAGTGCTGATGTCACCAGTTAGATAAAAACGACCACAAAGACACCTAACCTAGGAGCAGACAAAAAACTCTCAAGAAGGCAGTTAAAAAAAAAAGAAAAAAGAAAAACACATAAATTCACTGTTCTTATTGATACATTTTCAAATAAGGAAAACAAAAGTAGTTTTGAAACAAGTACTAGAAATGCATACGTTTGAACTAAAATACAGGTGGACCATCTATAAAGAACACATAAAGACATACTTGATACAGACGAATGCTGCACTGGAATAAGATGCAGCTTAACTTTGGTAGGAAGAGCAGAGGAGAAAAGCTGAATTCTTGAATCAGTGGACAAGTTACAACTTAACTAGACCTTATTTACCAGACCTGTGACATCAGGGGGTCAAGTTAAGATATGGCTAAGCTCTCTCTCTAACTCTCACTCCATCCGGGTCTCTGCTCATGTCACCTTAGCAGAGGCCTTCCCAGGCCACCTCTCAAAGAAGCATCCCCACACCACTCTATTCCTCAAGGCGCTTATCACCAGGCCTACTGCACACTGCTCCTTCCCCCACCAGAACACAGGCTCCACTGAGGAACTCAGCCAACCGTGCTGTAACCCCAGGGTCTACAACACTGAGTAGAATCTAGGAGGCACACAAACAGGTTTTCAGTTAAAGAACAGATCCAGGGACTTCCCTCATGGTCCAGTAGTAAAGAATCTGCCTTGTAATGCAAGGGACGCGGGTTCGATCCCTGATCAGGGAACCAAGATCCCACATGCTGCGGGGTAACTAAGCCCGCGTACCACAACTACTGAGCCCACGTGCAACAACTACTGAGCCCGCGTGTCGCAAACTACAGAGCCCACGCGCCCTGGAGCCTGCGCACCACAACTAGAGACGAGAAAACCCACACGCCATAACTAGAGAGAAGACCACGTACCAGAATGAAGAGCCCACACACCGCAATGAAGGATCCCGCATGCCTCAACAAAGATCCCACGTGCTGCAACTAAGACCCGACAGAGCCGAAGTAAATAAAATTTAAAAATAAATCTCAAAAAAAAAAAAAAAAAAACAGATCCCGTCCCCTCGACAGTTCAAGTATTAAGTTCAATGGAGCATCCTTGCACATAATGTAAACATAAAATTCTAGGACAAGTTACCTAAGACTATAACTTGCAACAAACAAAGCTTAAGGGCATAAGACTTTATCAATTATATTAGTAAGAAATTATACTAACACGCAAATATTACTGATGGGAAGTTTACAAACGGTCGGGAGGCCAGGTTCAAATCCTGGCTCGACTCTCTGTGTGACCATTCTTAACTTCTCTTTGCCTCAGTTTCCCCTTACATGAAATGGAGACAAAACCAGTACCTACTTCAGTGTCAAGTACTGTGCGAAATAAGGATGCAGTGTTGACAAGGATAAACCCGAGGGAAAGAATCAGGGGAAAACTTCTGTTCCTTATTTCTTCCCACAGTTCCAAACTACAAACAGGGCAAAGGTAACAAGGAAAGGAGGGGACATTTACTTTTATTTGAAAAATATGCACATTACAGTGTTCGTGTTTTTAAAAGAGCAAGGTAATTTTCACCACGGGAAAACAGAATATCCGAAGTCTGTGGTTACACATGCTTTTCAAATAAAAAGCAAAATGTAAAAACATGCTAGAGGAGAAAAAGCTGAAGGGAGGCTGGGGAACAGGAAAGCCAGGCTGAGGTCTGTGGCACTGAGATCACCCGTGCTTGTCGTCTGGGCAGCTGGGCCCCCTGAAGCTGCTCCCTGGGGCCTGGATTCCGGCCACTGCCATTTTACTGTCCAGACAGCTCCCACCTGCCGTCCTCTTCGGCCCTACAATCACTGGAGGTTCTGCCTTAAGAGAATACATACGCAGCTCATCTGAAGGTGTGCAGATTCAGACCCATGCAGGCATCAACTCAGTCATTTATACCCAAAAGCAGGCGGAAGGCTTCTGAAAAGTGGCTGTGCAGCCGTGGCTGCCCTCTAAAAAGGGGCTGGCTTGATTTGGATAGGCTTGGGCTGGATGAGCCAGCAGGGAGAGTGATGTAATTAATAAATAGTTGGTGAGGGCAGGGCTTGATTCTGAATAACTGATTAGTTCTGGATCCCAGCACTTGCCTAGACCCTAATGCTGATCATATGGGGACTCTGGATGCAGAGCATGAACCCCTCAGGCTACAATCTGGCTCGCTGTAAATCCTGAATTGCTGTTCTTCCTGGAACAGAGAGGGGCTGAGGCAGGTTTCACTTGCTTCTACCTGGCTGTCTAGGACAAGGAAGGAGAAATAAGAGACAGGTGGGTGAGTTTCTACCACAAAAGAGACGGCTTTTGTCACACACTGCAGCCAGCAAAGCTAAGCGGAACACCTGGAGGCCCAGGTAGCATAAGCAGTTGACCCTGGGAGTCATTTCCTGAGGTGGCCGCAGGAACAGCAAAGCCATTGCAGCACCTGTTGGCAGCCACTGGGACACTCAGGTCAGCCCAGGGAAGGCCATCTGGAAGACGTGTCACCAATTTTCAGCAGCACGTTCTCAATTCTAAACTAAGAAAATAAGTACTACATGGAGGGGATAAAGAGAAAATGGAAACATTTAAATAAATTATGCTTAAAGCCTCATAATACAGTGTTCATCCTCTGAAGCAGAGTACATTAGATAATGGTCTCCATATGTGAGGGGACGGAGAATGAACAGGATTCCTCCAAACGCCCCGGTTCTGACAACCTACATTTATCATGATTTGGGTGAAAAGCATAATACAAGTCAGAGGCGGCTCAAATGAGGACTCTTAACCATTGGCGAAGCCTGATGCTACAAAGTGAAATGAGCCACCTATAGCAATAATATCAATTGATTTCATAATTTGTATCTTTCATCGCCTAGAATCTGGGTCTCCCTTAGCCAGTGAGCATCACATGAATATAGGAGGGAAAGGAAAGGAAGATTTACACACTACCTACTGCATGCTTGTAAATATTACAGATGCTTTTTTCCCTAACTGTAATCACTGAGTGCTTCAGACAAATGCTGTCTGGAGTCTGACCACCTGGGCTCCTCCCATTCCAGCTGGGGGCCCTCAGGAAAGTGATGATTTCACTGTGCCCCAGTTTTCTCCTCTGAGAAAAGGAGCTACCACCCAATGATGTAGTTACCAGCGCTCTGACAGGCTGAAGAGTACTGCCTAACCAACCTAAAGCCGTCACAACGGCACAGGGCACACAGCGAGCACTGCGTACGTGTACGATCGCGATTTCGCATTTCCCTCACGGCATCCTTGTGAAGAAAATAAAACCCTGTAATTAGGGAACAGTGTCTTCAATTTACAGAGGAGGCAATTTTGCAAAGACAGGCAATCAACCTGCTCGGAGTCACAGAAAGTGACAGAGGTAAAAGCCATCCTCTTGCCACTGTGCAGTGCTGGCCATGGCATTCATGCTGTTACCAGCCACGGCTTACTTCAAAATATAGAAGTCACATAGCCCTCGGTGAGCAAGACGTCCTCAAGGAAGTCAGACTGTGCTGAAAGGAAATCAGACTGACTGTGCTAATCTCAACATTTCATCTCAACAAAAAAACACTTATTGTCTTCCCAGGTACACAATGCTAGACTGCTGTCAGGCCATAAAAGCAAGCAGCCAGCTCCTAGTGAGTTAGGTAGACCCGGACGTTTCAAAAGCAAGCCTTAAGGGAACTCACGGAAGGCAAGAGGAAAGGGAAAGGACAAGGGAGGGGATTAAAGAGTAAAAAAGACTCACTACAGACCTTCAAAACGAAACATGTACATATCTACCTTGCCCCTGAGGAATCTGCCCAGGACCTTAAACTGAGGCCAATAGCGCCCAATCTTAATGAATGAACTGGCCCAGTTCCCACACACACACACACACACACACACACACAGCTCTGACGTACACAGGCCCGCAGGGCCCTTTTGACTCTCTGGGAGACACCTGACAGATCACAGGTCAACCTTAAATCACCTGGGAGCAAGATGTCAATGAACAGATTAAATGGGGTTACTCTTCTGTTCCCTCCTTTCTTCCCAGGGATCACATTTTTACAGGCTATGTTTGATACAATACGTCAATCGGGAGGTCAGGAAACCTGATTTCCAGGCCTAAGATAGGCCAGACAGCCCCGCTCCGGGCGCGGGTCCGGTCCTTTTTGTCCGTCGGTCCCTCCCTCGCTCCCACAGCACCCGCGGGGGCCAGAGCAGGGACTGGGGCTGCCCCGGGCCACCTGCCATCTCCTCCTCCACCCTCACCAAAGTTGCCAGGGCTGCAGAGAGGCCGCCCTGGCCTCGGGGACATGCTGTCAGCTCTTTTCACTATTCACCGGCCTCCCCACGGCGGCCTCGGGAGGAGGGCGCGCAGCGGCGTGGGTGTGAGCGGCGGGAAGCGGCCCCGGCCTGACACTTCGCGGAGCCGGCTCCCGCAGGGGCACACGCCGCGGCCGGTGCCGGCGAGGCCCGGGCGGCCCACACATCGGCCCCGGGGCCCGCAGCCCCCGGACCCGCCGCGCCGGCGCTCCGCGGCAACCCGGACGCCCGCCCGCCGGCCGCCGCCGCCGCCGCCGCCCACTCACCGCCGCACTCGGCAGAGTACTGGTCCCCCCAGTCCCCGGACTGCGGGCTGCAGCCGCCGCCCGCCGGGGCCTCCTGCTGCTGCCGGTGCTGCAGCTCCTGCTTGAGCAGGGACAGCGGCGAGTAGTGCACGGTGGCTAGGGCGCCTGGTCGCGGCCCGCTGGACAGAACCCCCAGCAGCAGCAGCAGCAGCAGCAGCAGCACCAAGACTCGCCGGGCGGCGCCCGCGGCGGCCACAGCGCCGCCCCAGCAGCCGCAGCACCAGCAGCCGGCAGGTGCCATCTTCCTTCAGGGCGCATGTGCGGCGGCCCTCGCCGCGCGCTGCCGCCTCCCAGCCTGAACCTGTGGCTGGCAGGTGGGCCGTGGCGAGGGGGCGGGAGAAGGGGAGTGGCAACGCCTCCTGGGAGTTGTAGTCCCAGCTCAGCCAGCCTGCGAGCCCCTTTTCAGTGCTGGGACTGTGAGTCCCGGTAAGCACCGCGCGGCGCAAGGCTTCCGGTCTGGCGTCTGACGTCTTCCCCACCACTGAATCGGAAGTTCTGGCCCGCAGTTGCGTGGAAATGAGCACTGATGGGCGGAGTGGGCTTCGGCCCGGCAAGGGGAACACCGAAGGGGTGACAGCTGGAAAGGCGAAGACGGATGGAGTGGCAGTGACTCCTACTACTGCTGCTGCCTCGGCCTCCTGCCAGTACAGGTGCATCGAATGCAACCAAGAGGCCAAGGAGTTGTACCGAGACTACAGCCACGGCGTGCTGAAGATAACCATCTGTGTGAGTTGTCAGGTGTGGGCTGTCCTTGGGGAAGAAATGGCGCAGCGAGGTTTGGGAACCGCGAGAGCCCATGGTACCTCTACCAGATTTTTAGGGTGATAAAAATAAAAAACCAACGAGTTTCAGGGTCCTCTAATACAGACTTCAGTTCGATGCTTGACATTCCCGTTCCTGCTCAGTAGAACCTTTGCATGAATCCCTATAGTGGTAGAGAAGTCATATCCTACAGCGCTTTTCTCATGCCGGTCACGTTTGCTGCTCCAGGCGAACGAATCCTCGGACGGAGATGGATGCAGGTGTTGTGCGTAGAAATTTAAAGATCGGATTAGGGTGACATTTAGGCCCACGCCAAAGCTATTTCATTCTTATTCTCCCTTTGATAGACAGATGTTACCATCTTTACACTTCATAACCTATAGTAAATTCTCCTAGAATACTTTTTCAAGCTTCATCCATTGTGGTTTTTGCATGTAGAGTATTATGTGCAAAGTACGATGCTAGACGTTGGTTATATAAAAACCAAAAATGAGGAAGTAAAAATTCTCTGCCTGGAACAGTCTTCTCTCAGGTATCTGTGTGGCTCATTCCCTCACCTCCTTCAAGGACTTTTCTCGAATATCTTACAGAGAGGCCTACTCTGACCACCCTATTAAAAATGATGAGCCCCCCTTCAAGGCTGGTATACCTTATCACCCTTCCCTGCTTATCTTTCTCCATAGTACCTATCATCTTCTAATATTGTATATAATCGACTTTATTATTTATTGCCTGTCTCCTCCCACTGGAATGTAAGCGACACAAGGACAGAGATTGTGTATATTTTATTCATTAATGTAGTTGGACCACCCAGGACAGTGTCTGACACATAGTAGGTATTAAATAAATATTTGTTGAATGAGTGAACCATTTTTAGGTTTTTTTAGATGATCATATCCTAGGCCATCCCGGTGTGAGAGAACAGTAAGTTATATGTGGTCTAAACTTAATGGCTTTGGACTTGTCCAATTAAATGGCCCGTCTAAAAGACGACAGCCACGTAACTGTGAATATAGTTTGTCCAAAGAGAAGCTAGTAAATGCCTATGCATTTTAGTTAGCAGTGATTTGTAATATAATCTGTATTTTTAAAAAAATATTGGCATTAAGCTAACAACAACAAAATCCCTGTTCAAATCATCAGACGCTGGCTTCTCTATACCTTTACTTATGTAAAGAGAAAATAATTATTGGATAGCTGTTTAGGTCAACAGCTATACTCTCCCCCACTTTTTTCCCCCAGACATTGCACTTTCTCACCCAGGAGACAGATTTTAGAGTAATATTTGGAATACTGAATGGTGGTACTGTACATTATGGATTATTGTACACAGTCATTCCCTAATGAAACAGAGTAGGTAGCATCCTAGTTTATATCATGCTAATGCTTAATGATATGCATGATTGCATTACTCAGAAAAATCATTCATGTGATGGCAGACTCTGAAAATTAAACCATAAAATAATTAACTTTGTAAAGGCAATCCAAGTCCTGGGATTAAAAGTAAAAAGTTTTTAGACATCAGGCTATTTGTTGTGAAAAAATATACAAAGTTTCTAAATATACAAAGTTACCGGTTACAGCCGGTATACAAAGTTACCGATTACAGCCGGTAACTTATAGGTACTTTGGTCTCTTCTCTGCTGTATTTGGAGTCAGCAGTATACTCAGCCTGATCTCCTACCAATATTTTTCATTCTAATCTCCCTTCCCTTTGCTCTTCTTGCTTTTTCCTGCCATTCCTCCCAGCTTGCTTATCTGTGTTTCTCTAACTTTCTTCTAATGGAAGCATGTCCCTTGCTTTTAGTCACTCTCTCTGCTTCAGCGCTTCACGATTTATTATAGTTATATTAAAGATATTGTACTTTTAATATCCTGAGGAGCCTGGCCTATTTTAAGTGCTCAGATATTTGCTAAATCCATTATGGTAACAAAACAAAACAAAACAAGACTCCTTTGAGACTGTCTCAAGTTTTAGTTCTGTTTGGGACAACAAGATGCAGCTTTCACCCCTGGGTGCTGGGTGCAAAGATGAATAAGACAGCACTGCCCTCACAGGTTCCACTTCTCAGATATGTGTTTGCTTATTGTGGAGCTAAAATTTGAGGATGAGTGGGGAAGCAGTTAGTCCTGGAGATGATGGGAAGGAAGAAGCAGCAAGAATATTCTTGAAAAAGAATGGCCAATTTATATTCTGAAAGAGATGTGATTCATTATAGAATTAGAGAACATAGCAGCAGAAACTAAGCCATATCCATGTTAAAACTCAGCTGGTGGCAGCAGTATTTCAGTTCCCAGGGTGTGCACGGTCCCTGTGCTGTCGGGATTTCTTAGAGGACAGCTTTCTCTTTCAGGATACTTGTCTGTTGAGTAATAAATGATACGGAATAGAACAATCTCGCCAGAATAAGAAAACATTTCTACCACATTTAGCTATCTCCCAATCGGATGTTTTACCACATTTGTTTGTTTTGTGCATGTGTGTGTGGTTTGACTCATTACATTCAAGGTGAAGGAAGCACTCAAGGGAAAAGCAAATAACAGAAGCAGAACAAGGAAAAAATTTGGCCTAAACTGATAGGGAGGGAACCAGCAGACTTTAAGGAATTCTCAAGGTTTCTAAAATACTCAGCATGTTGGGAAGGGGAGATGGGCATAGCACATAGCATGTCCCATGATACCAGCAGCTGCCTCTTCTGTTTGGGTTCATGTCACCCTGTGCTCATTCCATTGTAGCACTTACAGTAGCATGTTTATTTGACTTCCCCTTCTAAACTGTAAGGTCCTTGAGGGTAGAGCCTGTGTCTCAAGGAAAGTATCTAGCACTGTGGAAGTGCCTGGTCCATAGACATGGCTAAGTAAAGAGAGCTGTTATGAGTGTAATAGGCACTCCAAACACGTATGTCAGACAAATGATTGCAAAAGGAGTAACTACGCTGCTGTGTCTCCTGCTGCTGGTTTCTGCCTACCTCCTTCTAAAAAATGTCCAAATCCCATCTTAGACTTGTGATGCTGTCAGAAGATGGGTTTTAGGGAACCTTTAAAGGACAAAGAGAGGATCCCTGACCAGTCTGCAGTTTCATTTTAAAGTAAAGTAGCATCTCTGGTCTTCCATCCTCACTTGTATAAAGAGAGGAAGTGTTCTCCACATGAGTAGCACAGGGAGAGGTTCTAGAAAACAGCTCTGTCATGTATATAGAATTTCTGATTCTGTGGCTTCTGTTTAGATACTGGCTTACTCTTTGCTCAGTTAAAAAGCCTAACCTCTTAAACCTCAGATCTGTTAGGTGGATTTAAACTCGGAGTAATGGCACGTCTCCCTTCATTGGTTCACCTGATGACTAGACAGACATACACACTTCTTGTAATGACATGAGTGAAGTGGGGAAGCCTTAAATTGGAATTGAATCTAACTTTGTGACATTGGGAAGGCAGGGTTCATATTCTTCAACGCACTCCATTCTTCTTCTAGCCCTTTGATATAATTAAAAGGCCATCCTGGTATGTTTGCATATCCATCACTTCTTCTATTTCTATTTTATCCCCTCAGAGTTTCAAAATGTTTTGTGTTTCAATTGTAGCCATTAGTTTATGCAGTGAATAGGACGCTTGATGCAACCTTGTAGCTAATACTCTTTCAAATGCCATTTGTAAACAGCTTGTTCTCCTATACCTGCATTTTATATGTTCTGATGGTATTGGGATTTCATAACATTGTAATCACGTGTCCAAAAAATAAAATAAAAAAGCCCTTTAATAGGAATGGCTGAGAGCCCAGGGAGCCTTGATTTGGGCAACTCAGAATCAGGCGGCACAACCCCGTTCCTTGCATACAGCCAGCGTTCTCCAGTGTCTACTGTGGTAGAGAAGGACCATTTTCTTGCCATGTTCTCCATGGAGAGAAAGACGGGCTTCTCTTGGTATGTGCCACCCGAGGATTCCTACCTGCCTGGAGCTCTCAGAAGCTCTGGGTGCAGGGTTACTTTTCTGAACCCTGTTCTCCAAATCATGTTTCAAGAACCACAAATTGGGGCCATCTAGCCAACAGGCAATGAAAGTACATTATCAACTTACTTATTTTATAATAATTCCTACAAATTGAAAGTAGCGTGCTCTGAGATACTTTCCTGCCTAAAATCAGTCTTTAAATCAAATATCTTTTGGGTCTTCTTAAATATGAGATTAGAAGATTAATATTTTTAGCCTAGAAGATTATATTTAGGCGTTTCTGAAACCAGGTCTTATGCAGATGAACATCTTGTATCTGAATGGAAGTTTATTTAAATAAATGCTGATGTAACCTTATTGCCCTACAAATCCAAAATAGACTCCACTGTTTTGAAATCCTTTAAGATTTCAGAATGTATGAATATGTTTATTCTAATATTGTCTTGCATTATTTCAGAAATCCTGCCAGAAACCTGTAGACAAATATATCGAGTATGATCCTGTTATCATCTTGATTAATGCTATTTTATGCAGAGCCCAGGCCTACAGGCATATTCTTTTCAATACCAAAATAAATGTAAGTTGTTATAATTTTTTTCTTTTCTAATTTTACTGGATGATTTTGCATTTTTAAATAATAGTATCAACAATTTTGAACAGAATTAAAGAATATTATTTAAACAAAGAAATTCTGACAAGAGTGGGTCTTCTATCTCAACGTCTGGAAATTTCTAGAAATAGCAGGCACTGCTTTTTAAAAAAGTGTACAGTGTTTAGTGTATATTTAAGAATACGGTCACTAGCAGGAAGTTGACAAACCATAATCTGGATTGCCTTTTAGTAGGTTACCTTTTGAAACAGACATCAATAATTTTGAACAGAATAAAATTAAATATAACCTGGTAGGGAGAGAATTATACCTAAAAGAAATAAGCAAACACTGAAAGAAAAAGATTTAAAAACATAACTTATTGCATGTTGTACTCTGCTGTTCAGGGAACACATGAGGTGAAAAATCAAAAAGTCCTAATATATGAAGTTGGATTTTTTTTTTTTTTTTTTTGAAATATACATTTAATGTACTGACTTGTGAACTCTTTTAATAGTTTGGCTAGGGTTGACAAATAAAATACAGGACACCCAATTAAACTTGGAAGTCAGATAAACAATAAATAATTTTTTAGCATATGTCCTAAGTATTGCATGGAACATACATACACAAAAAAGGTATTTGCTGTTTATCTAAAATGCATATTTAACTGGGTGTCCTGTATTTTTCTTTGCCGAATCTGGCACCCCTAATTTTGGGCTAACAGGGACAGTAACAGTGTAATTTATTTTCCCTGTGCCTCCTCCCCCAAGTTAAACAGCCCAGGCAGTGTTTATATTAGTAATATAATTGAGTCTCAAACCTTGCTACACATTAGAACCACCTGGGGGAGATGGAGGGGACGGCAGTTAATTCTTCCAAGCTGAGGCCTCACCCAGAACCAGTTATATGCGAATCTTTGGGGATGGGATCCAGGAAAGAGTATTTCTACAACTCCCTGGGCAATTCCAGAGCGCAGCCAGGAGCGCCAGTGCGCCAGCTGGAGGAGCCTGAGGAGCTCACCCCGCGCTCGTCCCTGGACCACATTGAGTTTGCACACACACTTTCTCTTCCCCACTTTATATTGATAAATGTCAACCCATGGGAGAAATATATGGAACAAAGCCACTTCTTGTTGCCTAGCATTTTCTGTTTTTACCAAAATTTCAGCCTCTTGAAAACTTCCAGCTTTTAATTGCTTTCGCTATTTTCATTTATACTCATCCAAGCTAGGGGCACTTTTTAAGAAATTCATGTTCAGACTAATGGTTTCTTCGGAGGAATCATGAAGTCTTCAGGTTGAACCTCTTCTCTTATTGCTGCTTCCATCCCTCCTGAATCACATAAATTCTTGCTGGATTCCATGTATCAGACGAATGTTGAAAATATAATGGAGGGTGAACTCCTATTTAAAGCAGTGATTCTTAACCAGGGGTGCACATAAGAATTCACCCTCTGGGTGTGGAGAAAAGGGAACCCTCTTGCACTGTTGGTGGGAATGTAAATTGATACAGCCACTATGGAGAATAGTATGGAGGTTCCTTAAAAAACTAAACATAGAGCTACCATATGACCCAGCAATCCCACTCCTGGGCATTTACCCTGAGAAAACCATAATTCAAAAAGACACAGGCACCCCAATGTTCATTGCAGCACTACTTACAGTAGCCAGGTCATGGAAGCATCCTAAATGCCCATCGACAGATGAATGGATAAAGGAGATGTGGCACATATATACAATGGAATATTACTCAGCCATAAAAAGGAACGAAAGTGAGCTATTTGTAGTGAGGTGGATGGACCTAGAGTCTGTCATACAGAGTGAAGTAAGTCAGAAAGAGAAAAACAAATACCGTATGCTAACACATATATATGGAATTTAAGGGAAAAAAAAAAGGTTATGAAGAACCTCGGGGCCAGACAGGAATAAAGATGGCAGATGTAGAGAATGGACTTGAGGACACGGGGAGGGGGAAGGGTAAGCTGGGACAAACTGAGAGAGTGGCATGGACTTATATATACACTACCAAATGTAAAATAGATAGCTAGTGGGAAGCAGCTGCATAGCACAGGGAGATCAGCTCGGTGCTTTGTGACCACCTAGAGGGGTGGGATAGGGAGGGAGGGAGACGCAAGAGGGAGGGGATATGGGGACATATGTATATGTATAGCTGATTCACTTTGTTATAAAGCAGAAACTAACACACCACTGTAAAGCAATTATACTCCAATAAAGATGTTAAAAAAAAAAATTCACCCTCTGCCTGGAACTGTTTCAAAATATGCATGCCTAGGATTTACTTCCACAGATTCTGAATCAGGACTGGGGTGTAGACATTTGTGTTTCGAAAACTCTCCCCATGTGATGCTTCTGCTGAACATTGCTGATTAAGAACTACTGGTTACAGACTGAATACAGTTGGCATTTAATTGGGCAGTTCAGAGTTTGACAAGCTACTAGGTGGGACATCCTTCAAAAACCACAGAAGTTAGCTCTGTCTGTGCCTATTGGTGTTAAGTACAGTTGTTTCTTTACCTGACTGAATGGCAATGTCTTTTTGACTACCAGATGCATGGAAAACTCTGCGTGTTTTGTTTGCTTTGTGAAGCGTACCTGAGATGGTGGCAGCTTCAAGATTCGAGCCGGAGCATTGATCCTGACGACTTTATCAGATATGCTAAAGAGTGGGATTTCTATAGAATGTTTGCAATTGCTTCTCTAGGTAGGAAGAAGCCATGCTTTCTATTCTTAGTTGACCTAACATTTTGATTTTAAAATTAAGGTGTGTGGGCTTAATCACTGGTAAAGAGGAGCTAGTCAGAAGACTTGAGACTAAATTTTCAGCTGTACCACTAATCTGCTAGGTGAGTTTGTATAAATCACCTGCTTTCTTACTTTTTGTTACCACACATATGGCATGGAAATAGTTATGCTTATCAGATCAGAGTGTTTCATAAAGTATTTTGAGACAGTATTTTTAGTAAAATTCTTCAGTTTAAGTTCTGATTATCCAATCTGAAGATTGCCTGAATCTCATCTTTATTAAAACAGATTGATAATTGCCAGGCATTATTCAATGTATTATACTGACTGCATTGTATTAATGCAATGTATTTAATAGGGGAAACTTGTTATTTATCTGGCTGCATGCAGGGAAGGGGCTACTCCCCCAAATTCTTTAAGTTCTGAAATGGCTTTTCTTCAGAATTTGTATTTGTGACTTAGGTCAGAATTGGGTTGAATTAATTTGTGACTATTTTATTACGTACCGGTTTCCATGCTTTTCTGCTTCTAAAATCTTTTCATTATACTGAAATATTATTTTAGTAATATTGTCTCCAGCCCACTCCAATGTCATATTTCTGGACTGTGTGTCCTCTTTTGTCCCTTTTTCTTCTCAGTCTGCCCTTACTCCCTCGGCCCAGTGGTTTTAAAATTCATCCAGTCCCAGGGGTTTTAAAATTCATCTATATGCCGAGAATTCCCAAATGTACGTAATAATATTAAAAACATCCTTGAACACATCACCTAAACCAAGAACCAGAACCTAATATAATTTTAAGCTTTAAAGCAAAGCCTCTTAGAATTGCTATAGATAAACTGCTTTATGTCCATAATTTCTAAAAAACAAACCAGGCTTGTTTCCAAATAGTTTGGAATTTCTGTAGCACCGACTCTAGAGTGGCTATTTTGACACTTGATCAGAAATTTTTCTCTACTGTTACTTAACTTTTTTACGTGTCTTAATCTAGTCCCTAGTTAGGTTTCAAATCCCTAAAACAACTTATAAAGAATATTTTACACAAATACAGTATTTTACAACTTAAACACTGTTTTTACGGTATTATCAACTCAGTTTTCACAACCATCCTCTTCGGTGGGTAGATGAGGGCTCCCTATCCGCAGCTGTGGAAGCACAGGAACAGGAAGGGCAAATGGTTTGCCCTAAGTCCCCCCGCAGGTCACGTCAGCGCAGAGCCAGGGGAAGGTCTCCTGGTGCCCTGTCTCCCATTTCCTCCACCGCCACTCCTACTGAAGCCACCTGATCACGAATGCCTTAAGTACTGGGGGCTCTCCAACATCTGCCTTGTGAAGGACTGTGCAGAGCCCAAAGGCAGCTGCAGTTCCCTGAGTCTCCCAAGTTCTAAGCTAGAAAGCTGTGGAGGGTGACCTAGTCAGCCCTCCTGTCCAGTGCAAGAAACCCTTCTCTCTAGATTCCTGCAAGAGGGTTTGAGTATCCCCAGTGACAGGAGACAACCCACCATCGTTAGATGGTTCTTGTTGTTAGGGAGTTCTTTATTATTATTATTATTATTATTATTATTGGTCCAAAACCCAGGCTGTATGATCTGCCTGTTTGAACAGATCCTTGCAGTTGACAAGCCCTTCAGTCGTTCTGAGGTAGTGTGTCTCTCCTGAAGAATATATCAAATTTCATGTGGGCTAACCATCCTAAATTATGTTTATCGATCCTAATCACCTATATTTGGAACCTCTTTATTTTGGCTAGATTCAGTTATAAAACATTTTAGAAAGAATAGAGTTGTTTCTCCTGTAATATGATACATGTGTTCCAGAAAAACCTGATCCTGCAGAAACCTAAATAACACAGCTTATAGAAGGTAGAATTAGGGACGGACCATTCAAAATGCATGCAGCTGGGTAATCAGAGCACTAACAATCTTAATAAAAAGAATAATGCAGTTAAAAGAAATGTTAAATTCCTAGTTGATGGGAACAGAACAGATCGTGCCCTATTCTGACTGTGGGACACCAGGGGAGCCATCGCTTCTTCTAGTCTGGACTCTGTCTCTGAATGCTTTCTGGAAGGATATGGAATTACACTCCAAAAGTTTGTTAAAATGAATAAGGGAAGTTTTAAATTTAGCAAACAGCATATTCAAAATCGTACGGCTAATAGGCACTCAATAAATAGTAGAAGAATGAACCACGGAAAACTTCATATGTACTTCCTAGGCTGGGTCCCATCTTTCAGATTTAAAAGCGTCCGTTCTCCTGTCTGTTCCTTCTGTGGAGACCGCTAGGACTAAAGCTGTTGAAACAACCTTACTCCCTAAAGGAACTCGAGAATGTTGATGATTACAGTTCTTATGGAGTTACTCTCTCTCCAGAGGATGATGAGTATTTCATGAAAGAATTATTGAAATATGTTTCTGAAATCGTACAGGATTTGACACAAGAGACAGGGGTTTATTTTAAAAAAAAAAAGGAAGAAAGGAAGAAAAGGGGACAAAAAAGAAAATTTGATCTTGATAAAGCATTTCTTTTGTGGTCAGCTGATAGGCTCCATTTTGGAATTGTAGGTTATTTGCTTCTAGGGGGCTCTGGTTTGGATTGGGACATTCATATCTTTATTTTTCATTTCCTCCTTAGAACAAACTGCCTATTTTACTGGCATCTTTACTTTCCTGTGGGTAGAACGACCCATAACAGCAAAAAAAACCCTCAACTTCGCTTTGCTGCTGAAAGCGTTGTTATTATCCAGCTACGGAAAACTCCTGCTCATCCCAGCTGTCATCTGGGAACATGACTACACACCCCTGTGCCTCAGACTCATTAAAGTATTTGTCCTTACGTCAAATTTTCAGGCAGTTAGAGGTATGTTTGTGTCTTATTGTTTTCTCAGCTTTCAACCCATCTGAAAGCTTGAAGTCTTGTTTCTATAGAGTAGTTTTGGGTTTTGGTTTTTTTTTTTGCGGTACGCGGGCCTCTCACCGCTGTGGCCTCTCCGTCGCAGAGCACAGGCTCCAGACGTGCAGGCTCAGCGGCCATGGCTCACGGGCCCAGCCGCTCCGTGGCACGTGGGATCTTCCCGGACCGGGGCACGAACCCACGTCCCCTGCATCGGCAGGTGGACTCTCAACCACTGCGCCACCAGGGAAGCCCTATAGAGTAGTTTTTATATAACCTGTTAAACGCTGGAATTCTTCGTGGAATAATCACGATGCCTAACATTTCTATAGTGCCTTACATATAGCACACGTTCGGTATTTGTTCATTTTAACCACATGGTACTCTTTAGTTTTCAAAATGCCTTCTTTATGCATTACATCTATCCCCTGGGGTCTGTAGGGCAGCCATTATTATCTCCACTTTATGACTCGTGGGGACTTGACCAAGGTTACATGGCCGGCAGTTATCAAGCCAGGGTAGGGTGCCAGCCTGCCTCCCAGCTCAGGACAGTTCAAGGAAGGGGTAAGCAGCCCTGTGTGTCTTCCTTTTTCCCACACATTGTGAGAAGTGCTATTTTAAATGGACCTATTATCGGATACTTCATATAATGTTTATCATCTTGTAAACTATAAAACCAAGAGTAGCAATTTTTTTCTGTTACTCTCTTTATAACCTTAGAATCTTTCATTTTCCTGTGTAATATTCATGGGAATCCGTGTCTTGATGCAAGCAGGAGAAGCTCAGTGTTTTTGTTATAAGCAGGTGCTTTGGTTCTCTCAGAAGGTTTGCAGATGGAAAAGTAACAGCATAGATTAATAAGAACAGATTTTCTAAAAACAGCTTTACAAAACAACTCCATTCACACTACCACATAATTTACATGCCAATATCATTTAATTAAACTCTTAAGAACTTATCAGTTGCCTTCTCTTTTTCAGTGACCCTAAACGTCAACCGCAAGCTCTCCTTTCTGGCCATCTTGAGTGGCTTACTGGTGGAGAGCGCCATGGTCTACCTCTTCCAGAGGATGGCATGGGCTGTTGGAAGTGACTGCCATCTATAAATCTCAAGACTTTTGAAGAGGTACAGAGAGCATCTCTCAGTGTTCATGCACGCAGACACGTGTCCTCCTCAAACTAGACAGATGTGGTCGCAGAATACATCCCCCACCCCCCGGCACCCGGGTGCCTCGAGGTCACCGCCATCTCCCTCGGGGTCTTCAGGGTCCTGCACTCTGGTTCTTTTGTCATCCACAGTGACATCAATAGCTATGTTTTTGTTGCTTCTGGGGCCCTGTTCTCACAGTTCTGTAACACCTTCCCTCCAACGCACTCCTCCTAAGACCTTGGACTCCGGAATCTGTCCCGCCAACAGCGGTCTCCCGCCCTTTCCAACCATTCCACTCCCTCCCTCCCATGACCCCTGCCTTTGCTGCCTTCTGTACCTCTCTTCCCTAAGCCTCTCACTTTCCTCTACCTCTCACCTCCCTTGCCTCTCTTTTGACTGTGCTTGGAACCTAGAGGCAGCTGTTGCCTTATCCTCTGTTAGTCCCTGGAAACGAGCCAGCTTCCCACCCTTCTGTCAGCGCCCCCGTTAGAGCTCTTGGGGTGAGTCCACCAGCGTTTCCTCTGTGAAGCCTGGCAGGCGGTCCCTGTGTCTGCACAGAGCACGGCCGCGTGGCTGCTCCTGTCTCGAGGGCACCTCTAGGGACCCAACACACACACACACAGCGGCCTTAGAGCAGTTCTGAAGTCTTCCCGCGCTCCCTCCTTCCGCGTCTGCTGTCACTTTGCTGAGAATTGAGACTTACCAACTCCTTGGGTGTCCCCCTCCGTTCCGGAACTTGTTTGGCGTCTGCCTTCTTTCCTCCTCCCCGCATCCCGCCTCGGAGCCCTGCCCAGCGTTCCACGCCCCGCACCCCGGGCGGATTCCACCCTGCAGCTGTCCTCCCGCCTCTGGTCACCCTCAGGGGTCTGGACCACAGCTGCAGTCCGCCTTGAGGCAGGACGGGCGACTTGAAGGCGGGGCAGCTGGTGAGGGAAGCGTGGGGCAGGAGCCAGCAGCCGCGGGCGTGCAGGCGGCGCGTCCTCCGCGTCCCGCAGACCTTCTCCGCCTCTCCCAGTACCTCGGCCTCCTCCCCCGGCCCTGCTCAGCTCAGCCTCGTCTGCTCCGCCCCCCAGACATCGCTCCCTCTCCATCCTCGTCTGTGCCGGCTCCTCCCTTCTGCCAGCAGACACGTGCAGCTCTCTACTTGCGAGCAGCTGCCCTGAGCCTCTTTCTCCACTGCCTTCCCTCTTGGTGACACGTCCTTCCTCCATAGTCTCCCGAGCCGCTGCTCCTGCGATCGAAGGCAGCCGCCGCCGGCTGTCAGGTTCCTCCCCGTCGCCACCCTGCGCTTCTGAAACAGGCCGCCCGGGCCCCTTCTGTCACCGACTTCCCTGTCTGTGCCTGGCTTCTGCCCTCGGCCCTCCGCTTCTCCCTCCTGCCGTGCAGACGCCCGGCTTCCGCACGCCTTGGCCCATCTCTTAGTGCAGGTTGCTTCCAGATCTTTCCAGATCTGACACCTCTAGCCCTCCGCCTCTTTGAGGTCACTCATGCCCTTCCACTGCCTCCGAGGTACTGCCAGGACGGTGTGGCCGTGACCTCGAAAATCGAGCTCAGTACCCCGCCCGCCCGTCCCCACGGAAACAGAACCTTCCTGATGGCTTCTCATCTTGTCACTCCGACCCCAGCCCAAGCCTCCTGGTCTCCTGCTTCACAGTTTACAACAGCCTTGCCCACCTTCAGCCTCTCTTCACAGAGCACCGCTCCTGGTGAATTTTTCATCCTTTCCTACTGGGGACAGGAGCTTCTGGTCTCTTCCTGAGGAACACCTTTTAGTGTTCTCTGAGCTCTAGTGCTAACTTCTCCTCTGCAGACATGCTCCTGCCCACGTCCTCTACTGCACTCTCCCCTCCCCAAAGATGTCACACCCTCCCCAGGACCCGGAGGGGCCTCTTCTCCGCCTAACCAGGTCCAGTCACCTCTGCTGCTCCGTGGAACGAAGCCCTTCCCCACGCTCCAGTCTGCCGTGCTCACTCCCTCCGTAGACCTCCCGGTGCCCAGCTCAGCACAGTCACACTGCCGGCGCTCCTGAGACCCTTCCGGTGCTGAACGCCTGTCCCCTCCTTCTGTTAGCGCTTCACTTGTCAGGCTACCCATGACAGCTTCTGGTTAGGAGAAGGTCACCTGTCTTTAACGTCCCTTACGTTGTCTCATGTTTTATGCTTGTCTCCCCCAGTCTGGTTGGGTGCCGGGAGAGGCCATGCCTGTGTTAACTGTGTCTCCCGTAGTACAGGGCCTGCCCTAATAAGTATCTGTTGATTTGATTTTCAGCAGAATGTGCCACTCTGAATACTTCATTTGTCATCCACAGTTTCCTTTTTTTTACTCTCTGGGGCATGACCAGCTGCATCCGTAAAATAGAAGGCGTAAGAGACAAACCAAGCTTCTCGTTATTGTTGTGTAAAATGAAGCAAACATTTGGATACACTTCCTGAAAAAGAAAGCAGCCGTTATGGCGTTGGGGACTCCTAACCCTACCACCCCACCCCTACATGTAGGAACCACATAGGGACACACACAGAGACATTCACACAAACACAAGGAACTAATGCAGGCAAACAAGTGAAGATGTGTACATTATAGATGGTTCAGGTAAGCATCTGAATTGAAGGAACATGAATTCATGAGTCACACATAAAAGATCTTTGTTCGTTCCTTTGACATATTTATATCTTTTTAATTTAAATGTTAATGGTTAAAATAATGTTTTGTGTTCTTACAACAAGAGAAACGCTTTTCTCTCAATGCAGTCACAATAAACTGAGCTTTTGTGAATGTTTAATTCAGTATCTTCCCCTGTAACTAAGTTCCTCTTTAAAATCAGCTGATCCAAAAATAAATAACTAAAAACAACTGAATTGTCCACTTAACAGGAGTGAATTATATCTCAATAGAGTTGTTATTAAATATCACCTCTCTCCTTTTCTCTCTCCCTGCTTCATTCATTTGTTCTTTCATTCATTATTATTCATTCAACATATTTACTGAGCACATACTCTATTTGGGTCAGACACTACGGATACAGTGGTAAAAAAGACATGGCCCTCTCGACATTACTGAGTAGTGATGGATTTAGAAACAGGAGTAGGTGATTGCAGTACAGTGTCATAAGTGTTATAAAGGGGTGAGTATAGGGTACTCAGGACAGGCAGAGTGGGAACACCTGTTCCAGTCTCAGAAGTCGAGAAGGTCTTCCAAGGGGAAGGGGAAAGGACACGAACTTTCCATTACCCCTGGTAGAGAGGATACCAGTGCACGTACATTCCTAGAGAGCAGAGTGCTAATGTGCACAGGCAGGGGCTGAAAGCGAACAGTCCAGCTGGGTGGAATGTGGGCAGTGGGAGTTTTACAAAGGACACTAGGAAGACACGTAAAGGTCAGTCGGATTATGAAGGGCCTCGTGAGTTGTAATTTATCCGAGGATGATGAAACCAACACAGATAGTTAAAAAGAAGACTCCAAAGTAAAAAAAAAAACAGGACAAAACCAACTGGGATAACATCACAGAATAGCCGTGGGCTGGAGAGGACCGTTGGCCACCAGATGGAGCCTGTAAATGTTAAGGAGGGGGGAGAAAACATGGTTCAAAGGCATACAACCAAAGGAAAAAAGCAATTCGAAAACAAATAATAGGGGGAAAAATGACAAAAACCCTACACTGATCATATCTTTTCAAATCTTTGACTCAGATAAAGAGACATACATCACCCATTTATAAATTCATACTCAATACATTCCCAGGCTGTCTTGATCACCATAAAGTTACTTGTTAATCTTTCAAAATGAAGGAAGTGTTAGAAATCCCTTTCCAGGGTGTCGGTGAGGTATCCGTGAGCGGTAGGTAGCTAAGCGCTGCAGAATGTGTGGTAAGGACTGCGAGGGAAACCCATCTGATCAGCTCTGACATTGGACTCCACTCAGCCTATTTATCACATCACTCGCTGGAGTGAGAAAAGAAAGGGCAAGACTCCAGGAACAAGGGAGAGAGACTGCCTTCCAGGTCACTGTGAGGTGGCCAGTTCTCCCACCACCCAGGCCGTGCCCCAGTGCCTGGCACAGGAGTTCATCTTACCTCTGTGCTATCAGTGGCCCTACTTTTTCAACATGTTTTATGAAAAGTTTCAAAGATACAAAAACGCTGAAAGAATTGTACAGTGAAAACACACCTATCCGCCACCTAGGTTTTACAGTTGTTAAATTTTGCCCCATGATTCCTGAGATGGCAGAATTTTCAATTGTGCTGGGAAGATGAGGCAGTGGTGGTGCTTGGTGCCTTAGGATGATGTTTATGTTTTCCAAGCCGTCCCTCTCTCTCCCCCAGTCACTGAAACATGGTCTGACAACAACAAAGAAGGCATTTACAAGAAAATTCTCTTGAAGGTATAAAAATTACTTTTAGGTATCCACACTTTCATTGAAAAAGCATATGCACCCAAGCCAACCTAGAAAAGCTTCCTTAAAATCACAGATCAGTGACCGTCACAGTGGCTACACAGACAGCCCACTGCTGACTCTTTGAGTTTTCAACACAGCCAAAAACCAGGAGAAAAAATACTCAATTTTTGAGAGCACAATATAGATGAATAAGGCACAGAGGAAACGGACAAGTGGTCTTCTGTTGGAAGATTTTCCGTCAGTGTTTGAAGCCTTTGAACTAAATCGGGAAGAAAACATCACGGTGTACATGAGAGCCAAAGAAAGCGTATTTTTAGGTATTTACAACAAAACAACGCAAACATCAGTCAGAAAAGCTGAAGATATTTTTAAAATCAGTCTTATATGAAGAAACTGAAGCTCAGAATGGTTCAGGGATATGCTCATGGTCACATAAGCATATAGTGATAGAACTGGGGCTAAAACCTGGTCTCCACTCCTAGTCTAAGAGGGGATCCCTGGGTCTATATTAGTCTCCACCCCTAGTCTAATGGTAGATTGCTGGGTCTATCTTGGTCTCCACTACCTAGTTTAATGGGAG